TCTTCATGATGTTCCAATACCATTTCCTAGTTAACCGATCACCTCTTAGTTACAACCTAAGGTAAATGGCATAAACACCAATTTATTTTAGCATATTCGTCATTTTCACAATCGGTTTTTTTGGTTTGAAATATATCATTCTTCTTGATTTTTCCCAATATTTACCACATAAGGTGCACTATCTTGTTTTGTCGGTTTAACATCTAGTTTCAAGTTGTTTCTTATTTTGGGATTGTGGACCTTGATTTGATCAAGTAAAGGACTTTGGCTTCAAAGGAATAAAGTTTAGATCTTATTGGGTATTGATAATTTTGGTTAGGTGAGTTAAGTGCTTGAATTATGTTTTGGAGCTAAAAAGGATAAAATAGAAAAAAGTGATATTTTGGGACTTCTTGCATTAATTAATAAATTAAGTTCGTTATAATTTAAGTCGAAATTAATTGGATAAGATTATGGGGCTTATTAATACATTCACGTGCATATAAAGATCACTAAAAATAGAGTTGAAACAAAGAAGTTTTGACTATTTGAAGTTGGATGAAATAATTGAAAACTCGTCACCATGAGGTGGTGAGCAGGTCACCACAATGTGGTGATCAGGTCACTACGAGGTGGTTGATGTGCAACTTAAGCCCATGATTTTTAGGGGTTTTAACGTATTGAAATGTAAGGTTCCATGTTTTAGGATATTTTCTCAGCCTTCATCACATTTAGAGCTCATTGGGAGCAACCATAGCCTCACTTTTCAAGATTTGAGCTCATCCTTTCTCCTTCAACCTATTTTGGGTGCTTTTGGTGGTGATTTGATGAAGCTTGAAGATCAAGAAAGCTCTTTTGGTTGCAATGAATGTTGTTTCAAGTTTGGATCCATCAAATTCAATGAAAGCTCTTCTAATTGTTAGTTACCGCTGCTTCGCTTTCATGTATTTCAAACTCCTACTCGATAACGCTTTCACTTCGTGATGCATTTATACATGTTATTGTCTCTATATGACTTATACCTGTTATTGTCTCTATTCCACTTATACTTGTAGTCGCTTATACCTGATAGACGCTCTTACTTCACTTATCGTCGTTTCCACTTCGTGATACACTCACACCTGGTACACATATACCTCATGATTCGATTATCCTACTCTGTACGCTTATACTTCACGACTCAGATGTTCCACCGTACACTTATACTTCACTGTATGATACCACTTGATACACACTCAAGCGTAGTTAGATCTATGTTTGTGCTTGTATAGATGCATATAAATAATGATTGAAGGACTTAGGAAGGCTTTTCAGCCCTATTTCCTTTTCTTCGTTGAGATGTGGTATGGTGGGATCGGATGTCCATCCGAAGGTCGTTCGATTCATTAGTTATATATTATGTACATAAGCATAGATATACAGGAATTCTCTAGTCAGTTCAGTTAAGAGTCTCTACCTCTAGTCTACACTTACATTAGAAACACACTACCCACTGTTTGGAAGTCTCTACCTTTATTACAACACTTACATTAGAAACCCACTCCCCTCTAGAAACATACTATCCTCTATTTGGGGATGCATCTTTGGGACGTGGCCTTCTCCGTCGTCTAGTTGGTAACCAGAGTCTCCTGTAGGGAGAGCGGACATTGTGTGTATATATCTATACGGGATTGACACCCCCGCACCCTGACTACTAGCTACAGTCCACGGCTCACCAAGCCAAGGGGTGACAAATGTCACATTATATAGACGCTTGTAGGGCGTCTGGTACTCTAGTGTCGGTTAATATGATTACGAGTATCCCGGGTTACCTTATAATTCATGGCTTTAAGGTAATGGTATTTCGCCAGCAATTTACACTGTATGCTGGTAATTCATTTTCAGAGTCACACTGTTTTGACCCTACAAGACGTATCTTTCATTTGATACTGTCTGGGATCTGTCTCCTCTGTTTTGACCCTACAAGACGTATCTCTCATTTGATGATGTCTGGGGTCTGTATCCACTGTATTCACTGTTTTAGACCTGGCTAGACATATCTTTCATTTGATATTGCATGCGGTTTGTATTCACTGTTTTGGGCCTTACTAGCTGTACCTTTCATTTGGTACCTTCTGGGGTCTGTGTCTCTATTTGTTAGACTGAGCCAGGCGTGTCGTTCGTTCAATACTCTCCTGGAGTCTATGATTCCTTTGCCTTAGTCAGCAGTCCTCACTGCTGAGGCATATGTTATTTCCCTGTCGTCTCTTGCTTTCTTTAATAATCAAATTCAGTATTTTGATAATGATAGAAATCAAGGGAAAACCACTTTTACCACATAACACTGACCAGTCTTGGTAGAAGGCTGCTTTGATTAAAGAAAATATAGGATTTTTTGGAAAGAACTCTAATACACTGTAAACACTTAAACTATTACTTTATGAAGTTATTTGAATGAAATGTCACTAAATACTTATGAACTCACCAGCATTTGTAAAAATGTTGATACTCGCTTTTCAAATAACTTGTATTCTCAGGTTAGCATTAGACAGGTACATCTCGGAACTGTTGGTGAAGATAGTTTAGTACTGCGCTGTATCTATTCGATTATTTGTATTACTTTGATGTATTGATGTAACCATGTAAAACTATTACTATTAATGAAATGTTTTGTTGTACTTTGATTACTATAATGCATGTGTTGTGATACTTGACATGACGTCATCCACCCCAGAACGTTTCCGCCGTTCCGGTTTTGGGGTGTGACAACAACCCATCAAAATACACCAAAATGGCCTTAGAGCACACAAACAAGGCTAGGGTTTTGATATACTGTCTTATGGGAGTGATAGGTACGAAGGAGGCTGGGATAAGTTGTTTAAATAGGGTGAACACCCTAAGATTTAGGTTCTCACTCAAACAATACCTACTCGCCGAGTCAGGCTCCCGACTCGTCAAGTAGGCCACTTAAACTCCCCCACGGCCACGACTCTACTCGATGAGTTGGGCCATCAACTCGTCGAGTCTCAAAACAAATACAATAAACCTTGAATTAAATATGTATCGGGAATCAGGTGTTACACTAGGGGTATCCCGTGACATTTGTATAAAAGACTATAGAGGTAGCTTATGACACTTGTGTATAAGACCTTGGGTAGCCAAGGCACTGCAAGGGAAGACCATGAGGGCAACCCACGATAATGGTATGAAAGACCATGAGGCAACCCATGACACTTGTATGTAAAACCATATTGGTAGCCTATAACAATGTATGTTGGTATGTGGTATTTTGGGGAACTCACTAAGCTTTGTGGTTACGATTTTGTGGTTTAGCATTTTTAGGTACATCCAGTTCGAAAGGTAACGATCCGACGTGATCGCACAACATACCCTTGATTTTATTCTGCATTGACATTTAATTTCACTCCGATGTTGAAAATACTTTATACTATGGTTGATTTGGAACAAATTGGTTGTATTATTGGGTGATTGAAAAATGAAAATTCTACCACTGTTTTTTTTGGATGTTACACTTGATGATTATAAAGAGGATTGATTTCTTTTTCTTTGTAAAGTGAAATAGAGTTCAATTGAGTTGTTTTGGTATTCACTTTCTGCTGCAATGAGAGAAACAAAAGCAATCTACTTAACCTAAAAAAATATCGGAGGGCCACATCACTATCCATGTTGGCAGTCGCATAAGAAAAAAGCCACATTAGGATCATAACAATAGACAAAACGAGGTATAGCTTGTTACGTGATCAACATTGGAAAATAACTCAAGAAGATAAATGCATTGTGCAAATTAAAAATTTTAAAAGTGACGAAAACAAAGAGGAAGCTAAAGTGTAGTGAGTTTTTTGTCTTTTGCCCATTCGTTGTAGTCGAGAGGTGACTATTTACCGACTACTTACTGGGTAAATGATCAAAAATATAAAAAAAAAAAAATCAAGAAAATGGGTGTCTTATGTGTCATAAAATAAGAGTAAAAGGTTACAACTCTTATGTCATTTGATATTTTTTAAATAAACAAATATAAAGGAACTTTCTGATTTCAGTTGAACAGTTTACGAAACGTTCACTGCATGTTTTGTTCAATGCTTTTTAAATTTAGTTCATGATTATCATAGCCTATGTTTACAAATGAGCTTTAATTAGGATAAAGATTGCATAAAGTGGAATGAAACAACTTACAAGCAACTAAGGATGGAAGATGAATTGGCCGGTTTTGCAAATTCAGGTGAATATGTTCTTGTAGCTCTTCATTCGTCTTCATGATATTCGCTATATATGGTCAAAACCGTAACAGGATCCATACAAATTGATATTTTAATATAGTTTAGACAACTTATTATAGCTATATTCATATATGTTGAAATACATTACAAATTCAAGTACTTCAATTACATAATTACATTACATTTGTTGTGTGTATTATACAAATATCATATATGCTTCAAAACCAAATTAACCAAGGAACTTTTTAAAGACTTCAATGATCATGCCAGGAACTTGTGAAATAGGTCCTCAAATTTTTCCATTTCTTTCCTAGGCAAAGCCACCAAGACGTTGACTTCATTGTTGCTCTCTCCGACGATGTCCGGAAATAGTAATATTATATCTTTCCGGTGATAAACCACCGGACAACTGTACCTTGGTTTCCCCCATGGATACTCCACGTCTGCAAATCCTAATCGCCACCAAGACGAAATCAGAAACTCACCATTCGGAAACCCTTTGTTCACTTCTCCCCAATCAATCACAGATTGTGCATATTCACCCGTCATCCGTTTAGTACCTTCAGTCACCATCTCCACCAGCTTCGACAGCGGACCTTCTTCAATCTCCTTGCATCGCGCAGATGCATACGCGCTCAGAACAGCGTTGCCGGCGTATGACGGCGGCAGACCCAACCGGGACCGGATGTCTACGGCGTACAGAACCGTGGAAACCCTCTCTGGGTCGTAATCGGTGCCGTAGGACAAGGCTTTGCACCGCCAAACATGCGCGGCAACCACATTGAACCCTGT